ACTTTAAGGCGAGGCAACTGGCTAACCACGTGCGCCAATGCACCCCGGAAGGTTGAAGGACTCAGGACTGAGCCGGGGGGAGGCCGATTCCTCTGCATCCTTTCTCTTCACCGTCGAATCTGTGGTACTTTGCAATCTCTCTATATCTATATATCTAAATATCTATATCTATCTATCTATCTCTATCTATCTATCTTATCTATCTATGCATCTTTCTATCTATCTCTATCTCCATCTCTATCTATCTATCTATATCTATATTGATATCTATCTATCTATCTTATCTATCTATGCATCTATCTATCTCTATCTCTATCTATCTATCTATATCTATATTGATATCTATCTATCTATGCATCTATCTATCTATCTATATCTATGCATCTATCTTTCTATCTATCTACCATCATCTATCTTTTTTTTCTAATCTATCCATCTATTTATCTATCTATCTATCTATGTATCTCTATCTATCTATCTATCTATCTATCTATCTATCTATCTATCTATCTATCAATATCTATCATCTATCTATATCTATCTATCTATATCTATCTATGCATCTATCTTTCTATCTATCTACCATCATCTATCTGTCTATCTTTCTTATCTATCTATCTATCTATCTATCTATCTATCTATCTATCTATCTATCTATCTATCTATCTATCTATCTATCTATCTATATTGCTACACACTACCAGAGTGCCAAATCCCCACAAAACAAAAGCTGTTTGGCTTCTGTGAGCCAAGCTGCACCAGGCTGGCGGGACACCTGGTGGGTTCCACCTTCCAGGATCTTGGGGGCGGAGGGGGGGGGGGGAGCATTTGGGGCATTTTACTAATCTCAAGTTGCAGACGGGAGGAGGTGTGTGTGTGTGTGTGTGTGTGTTGGAGTTGGTGTTATATTTGTGAGGATGGGATGTTTTGAGAGCCTCAGACACTGCACGGCGAAGCCGTTATTTCTACCGCACGTGTGGGAAATGGCGGCCATTTTATGACCCG